TAAAATTGTATAGTTTATTCTTGAGAAAAATTGACAAACGTTTCAACTCTTTCGATTGGGTCTTCCTCAGGATAAAAATAAAAATAAAATCGGTGTAAATTTAATATAAAAAGATGCGATTCGAAGCAAATTGAAGTACCGTTAACATATATTCATAAAATGATAATAATGCTGTCCGTCGTATCTAACGAAATACTCAAATCTAACATTTCAGATTATCTGTAATTTAATAAGTTATTAAAACATAAATCAAATCAATTAAACAATAAACTTACATATAATAATGTTAACGATGTGAGATGTTAGCACAAAGAATATGTGAGAGGTCAAAATCAATTGTCGTTAATCATAGGTATAAAACATAGTGATAAATAAATTCAATATAAATATAAGGTGGTAATAAATAAATACAATATATATATTTAGTTTTATACAATAAATTAGAGAAATAAAACATGGAAATGTCAAATCTTTTTAAATAAATCTTGATATAATGGATTTATTAAGTGTACAACTTTGCTTCTGCCGTTTTTTTCCCGAAATTCGAGGTTTTATTGTAAAAAACTGGTTATACATTTATGATTCAAAGTATTGTCCATCCCTGGCCACTACTTTCTCCCATCTTTCGGGCAGCGTACGAATCCCGCGTCGAAAAAACTAGTCATCTTTTGAGGCCACGAATCGATCCAATTTTTCACTTCTTCATAAGACCGGAAGTGCTGGTCAGCCAGGCCGTGTGATTGAAACAAGTGATAGTCAGAGGGAGCAACGTCTGGAGAATACGGCGGGTGGGATAAGACTTCCCGTTTCAACGTTTCCAAGTATGGTATCTTGATCACTTTCGCAACATGGGGTCGAGCATTGTCATGCTGCAAAATCACTTTATCGTGTCTCTCGTTGTATTGCGGCCGTTTGTCTTTCAATGCTAGGCTCAAATGCATCAATTGCGTTCGATACTGATCGTCTGTGATTGTTTCAGTCGATTTTAACAGCTCATAATACACTACGCCGAGCTGGTCCCACCAAATAGAGAGCATGACCTTGGAGCCGTATATATTCGATTTGGCCATCGACGTGGAAGCATGGTCGGGAACTCCCCATAATTTTCTGCGCTTGGGATTATCGTAATGAATCCATTTTTCGTCTCCAGTCACAATGCGATGCAGAAATCCCTTCTGTCTTTGCCTTTCAAGCAGCTGTTCACAAGCAAACAAACGCCGTTCAACATCTCTCGGCTTCAACTCGTACCCAATTTCTTTGCACCCAATTTCCTTGCTTCTGAATCATTCCCATGACTTTGAGGCCTGTTGAGTCACTCCCAATGATCGTGCCAATTCTTCTTGATTTTGACACGAGTCTCAAGTAGTGCCTCCAATTCTGCATCTTCGAAAACCTTCTCTCTTCCACCGCTATGCCGGTCTTCGACGTCAAAATCACCGTTCTTGAAGCGTTGAAACTATTCACGACATGTTCTTTCATTAATAACGGCCTCACTATAAGTATTTGAGAGCATTCGATGAGCCTCAGCCGCAGATTTCTTCATATTGAAGTAGAAAATTAAAACCTCTCGCAACTGACGAAAATTTGGCTCGTAAACTGACATTTTCAATCGAGAATAACTTTATGATGCAGACACAAATCGACTAATGTTTCTATGGGATTATATTAACATGCCCAAGTTTATTGTATGACGTCTATGATCTATTTATTTCGATCACCACTTATTAAAGCCATCTATAGGAAAACGGCGGAAGCAAAGCTGTACACCAAATACATATAATAAAAAATTTAAATATTAAAATAAAAATCATGTAAGAAAGAAAACATTTTAATGATATTTGCCGGAAGATATGCTCCCAGCATACTCATACTTTTTGTATCGCGACGCTTCTGGGGCACAGTGTCACGTGAGCTCGGCCGCCGAGTCTCGAGTGGTAGTGAGGGTCGTCTCAGGAATCTGCTCGAAATGGGCAACTAATTCCGAGCACTGAAATACATAATGCATTGGTACTAATTTTAGGATGCGGACCAATCCATGGATAAATAAGCTCATAGGATGGTTGATAATTTGTAATGCTTGGCTTAACCTTAGGCATGATTCTTCACTGAAAAATCACAGATAATAATTATTAAAAATAGAAGACTTCTATACACGGCGTAGAAAATTCATTTTATATTTTTCATTGCAACTGTTGCACTATAAATCACTTACGTCATCCTAAGAAGAGTTCCAAATTTTTCGGACATCTGATTGATTGTAGAAGCAGAGATGTCTGATAGAATACTTGAATTTGTTCATCACTTGTTTTAACAAATGAAACGCGGCGCGTCAAACGACTAGGCAGCGGCGAACGGAAAGAATGTCGGTACACCTATCGATAATTCGAAAGGTACTGCAGTAGCCCTGACTTATCGATTTGATTTATTTACAGGATTAAGAAAATCAATAACAGAAGTTTTTCAACATTAAATCAAATTATTTTGTGATCAATATATCAGACCAATAAGTTAGAGTTACTATAGGACTCTTCGAATCATTGACGGGCAGTGAAATTCTTGGTTTTTTTCCCGGTTTTTAAGGATTCAAGATTCGTTGGCCATTTTGATATATTTAAATATCATTTCTGAAGTACTTAAAATTTATTAAGAGTTTGTGATCTGTTTAGACCTGTGTATTAAATAAATAAAATATTTATTTGTTTTATATCTTTGTAACTAATCAATAAATCGCAATGAAAACTTTGCATAAATTATTTTGAATATTTAAAATATTTTAAAAGAAAAATGTAACTTTTTATTATTTTTTAAATTTTAATTTTTAACAATAAAAATAATAACATTCGAGGAAAATATATAATACATAAAATATATTATACGTAATTATATAAAAAATTGACATTTTATATATATATATATATTGTAAATTGACATATTTTTATATATAATTGTATATAAAATATATCCATTTATAAATAATATTTTTTTCCGGACAAATAAAATTAATGAACTACAAAAATTTGTTATTAAACAAAATCTTATTCACACAATTTTCATATGCATATACTTTATTTGAAGTGTAAATATTAAACATATACTTCCAAATTTTTAATTTTTTTTGCAGGAACTGTACGTCTAATACATCCTTAAAGTAGAACAAATCATAATAACATTAAAATGGCGTTAAACTGAATCGTTATTGACCAAAAAGATGATTTTTAGTAACATTTTGGATTTTAACATCATGATGATTTTTTTGTTCTGTTTAAATATGTTTTTCAATTTATTGCATATGATAAATTTTAGAAACATTTCTGTTAAAACATTTCATGTGACATATTACAGAATCCTTTATGTTGCAACATTTTACAGAACATATTACAGAATCATTTCAGAATTGTTGCACATGAAATGTGAAAAGGAAACCTTTCTGAAAACTTTCCGCAATAACCGGTGCTGTATGGAATCTGAAAACATTTTTTCTCATAATTTCTCATAATTTTTGAGAAATTCTAAAATGTCTCAGAAAAAAATGTCATATTTAATTGTAGATGGTGCGCTTTCTCATACTCATAAATACACATAAATACTCATGACATACAATTAAATTGTATTTTATGAGTATTTATGAATATGAAGGAGATGAATAGAAGATGAATATGAGAAAAATTGTTTTCAGATGTATGATAAAATATGAAAAATGAAGTATGAGAAAATATGAAAACATACGTCATATCTGAAAGGAGAAATTTTATGAATGATAACAAAACATAAAAAAGTCATTTTTTTTCATTACATTTTTTAAATATTTGTAAATATTTATGATGGAAAAAATTTCTGAAAATAATAGAAAATCTGAAAAATTTCTCATATTTCTTATCGGATTGCTATGAGAAATTATAATATTTTTTATTAATTGTTGTTGGGAAAAAATGTGAGAAAATCTGAGAAATGTCTCATAATTTCACATAATTTCTTACAAATTATGTATATGAGAAATTATGAGAGATTTTATGAGAAATTATGAAAAAAACCAAGATAAGAATGACACTTTACTGTTCACTGACCCGCATGGATGCTGAAAAAAAATTGTTAAGCATTTTCTAAGTCGTTGAAAATGAAAAACCTCATTCTTTGCACCTTTAGATTAGAATATCTCAAAAACTTGATGTGACATTTTCGGGATCAGATTCGTAATCAGTGCATCAAAATCTATTAGAAACCTCGTTTACTTTATGGCCAAAAACAAAATTAAATTTTTGTCGACCAGTGTTATTGCTGTGCACATGATAGCTTCTGCTTAGAAGCTTCGCTAGAAAGATTATACGTATGCGGATAGATTACGGCTTTTAGATTAAGCGTGCAGCACCAGTCATGACCGTTTAAAAAAACGGTCTTTAACTGTAGAAGTGTGTAGCTCAAAACGCGAGCTCGTATAGTGATTAAATACGAAGAGAAAGGTTTATACATAAGTATTCCTATTAAATCTTCAATTAACAGAGTAAATTGGAGCAAATTGAAATGAATTAACATATAGATTCTTGATCTAACAAATTTTACCCAATGTACCGTATCTCACATCTAATTCAACCTCGCATCAATTTAATTCTATTCATATCATTCGTCGTATAAAACGATAATTTATGATGATACTGCAATCTACTGGGCATCGTATAGATTCATCATTATGTGAGCTCGCGGACAGGTTACACTGTTAAATACACGCTATTCGGAGAAGTGTTTCCCAAAGAGCGTTTCTCAAGCTATTCATGTAGAGCGTGAAGGTACACGAATACAGGTCGTGTGAAATCTTCAAATTTCAGAAATAAGGAGGAATGATTTTCCGGGATCTAGAACGGATTGGGAAACGCTGAACCGGAGATTCTTAATGAATAAATCAAGCTTATTAGCATACGCAACACGCGTCTCTAACTCGCATGAATGAGCGATTCATCGTCATCGTAGGCTTTAGGCAACGATCTTAAAAAGACTTTTGATTACAGTGTCCACGACAAGAAGCACATGTCCCACAGACATAATCCCGCGGCATACGTCGAGAGTTATGACGGACCGGCGATGGGATACGGAGAGCGCGAAAGGATCCCCGATGCCCACCAGAGCACGTCGCATCACGACTCACGATATTCTGATCTGGCGTCTAAGTAAGTGGAGCTGTCTCACTCACAGGGCCATTATTATCAACTGTTCCGGGAGATGAATTCCTTCGTAATCATCAACATAGTCATGCATCTCGATCGAGACATAGCTCTGAGAATGATGTTATCAATGTGTTGCATTGCGTTTAACGTGGCATTGGTTATGATGTTACATTCCTTTCATTTCCTTCTCTGTCTCTCTCTCTCTCTCTCTCTCTCTCTCTCTCTCTCTCTCTCTGCCCTCTCCCTCTCCCTCCCCTCTCATTTCCTCCCTCACTTCCTACCTCTACTTTTTTCTCTTTTTCTATTGTTTTAACTTTTAATATAAGTACATGATGGTTTTTGATACTTTTACTGTGCTTTACTACATATGATGAGTCTTTCATATCCTGAATTAATTTTTATTATTTTTAAGTACATAAAAATTATTAAGTGATTCTTGCATATATTTTAATATTTTTAGAAAATATTTATAAAGGTGTACAAAGATTTTTCAAAAATTGTATATAAATGTCATAATTATAGTCAACAAAATGAAAAAAATGAACTTTTTTAAAAATGCAAAATTCTAAAACAAAAATGTTTAAAGAAAAAATACGTCAAAATCTTAAAGTTGACATTTCAAACTAAAAAGGAAAAAAAAACAATTCAAGTGTCGGCTGTTCAAAAAGTGTAGTTATTAAATAAGCCGAACATGACATTTTTTTTACATAAATTGAACGTTTATTGCATTTATATTTTTAAACAATGCATTTTTATCATTCGATCGATACAAAAAGTTACAACAATTAGAAAAAAACGATAATTATTTACAATAAAGCCTTTTTCGAATTTTGATGTTTTTTTCTTGCAATTTTGATAAAAATTTTTATTGTGACTCTAACAGTGATAATTAACTGGGCAAAGTAAAAAAATGTGTAACGTATCAATTTTTTACTATCTATTTATTTCCAGGTAAAAATAATGTGAGGAGCCTCCTTCATTTTGATATATGCTTATGATAAGATCATGAACCTGAGTAACCTTCAGATAGTCTTAACCAATCGGTCATTATTCGTTAAAAAGTTATTTAAAAAATTATTGTTGAAAAATATAGTAGCGAAATTAATATATTTATAAAACACAAATTCTCTACTTTAAAACAAATTTTCTGTTTTAAAAATAAAAATTTTCTTTTTCAAACAGAGAATTTGTTTTTAAAGTAGAAAATTTATGATTTTGTAACTTTTCATTCGAAGCGAGGTCTACTTCATTTCTTCTTCCTAAGGGCGTTTAACTTTTCAAAGCAAAATCCGTCTCATCTCTTCCCCTATTCAGGGTCGATCGACTTTATTCAAAGCGAAGTCTACCCCACCTGCCAAGGAGTGACAGACTTTTTCCTAAGCAGGGGAGGAAGTGGGGTTAACTTCACTTCGCGTGAAAAATAGGACGCCCCTAAACAAGGGAGGAAGAAGTAGGATAGACTAGAATGGATATCATGGTGGAAGGATTACATGGTGTGTGCAGCTCAGCCAAACCATGCTTACTTTTGCTCCGCGTCGTCAATAGGATTCAAGGGCTACTAACTGTAAAACGCGAATCATAGGGCGGCGGGTATTCATAATCCGTTCTTATTTTAAAACGTCTTAAATAATATCTTAAGATACTAATACAGTTCTCGGATTGATTTACGACATCTTAAAAGTATACTTAATCCTTTTAGTTTCTTGATTCACTGATTCCGAATCTGAAGTCAGATTTTGCAAATTCAATATGGCAGATCAAAATAGCCGTCATTACTTAGTAAATTAGCGAAAATTTGGATATTTTGCAGTAGATTCATTTTTTGGGGTTCTTGTTAGCGATATAAAATAAAATGATAAAGATAATATCAAAATTCAAAATAACAGCTACAATATGACTGCTTGATAAATATCGGTTCTTCCCTCTTAGGGAAGAGCTCTATCCAGAACTAATGACGTGGATGTTGGGAGATTTTAGCTCCTCTATTTTAAATTTTGTGTTTTTTATTTTGTGGAAATTCTTATTCGGAGCAAATGACTTCTTAGGTGCATCTCTTTTTCCGCGGACTGGAACAGCGAGAATATCAATGTTACAAACTCTTGAAAATTTGGTCAGGGAGACAATGACGGAGACAATGAGGGAGAATGGAGACAATGACGGACGTTTAGACTCAATGACACAGGTGTATGCACAGAGGCGAATAACCTGTCGTACGCACCTTTTCGGTCCCGGAATATGGGTCAACGTCCCAAAAGGACGCTATGATCTCCGATGGACAGTGCGAACGTCGGTCCAACTTTTTTGGGTCAAGGAACTTAATCCTTTTGACCCGGGACTGGACCTCGTGCGATTTCAGATATTAAAGGGAACGGGATACGAGTGGTGATTTAAAAATAAATGGAAGCTAGAAGGATCTTCATTTAAAATATAAAAACTTACATTTATTTAAAAAAAAATTAAACTAAGTTCCATTACAATCATAATCGTTTATACTTAATATTAATTACAAAAATTTTCTAAGCTAATGAAGTTGTGTGCGTGCGTGCGTGCGTGTGTGTGCGTGTGTACGCGCGTGTGTGCGTGTGCGTACGTGTGCGTGCGTGCGTGCGTGTATGTGTGTGCGTGTGTGCGTGTGCGTGTGTGCGCGTGTGAGTGTGTGCGTGTGAGTGTGTGTGTGTGTGTGTGTGTATGTGTATCGCATTTTATTTACAAGGGAAGGTTCACAACTATCTGGAACCGATTTGATTTTCCATGAGATATGTTGTTAAACACGAAATTCTAAGAGACATGTATTTTTTTATACGTACGCTAACTCATATTTAAGGGGTGAAATACCTCTAAAAAAATATATTTCTTTCAAGGCGAATATCATCGGAAGTATAAAAGATAGTCGGAAGTATAAAAAATTTTTTAAACAAAAGTCGTAATTTCTAAAGTACTTCAAAGTTATAGATAAAAAGAAGTTTTATTTATTTTTTTGTTTGACAAAATATTCCCACTATCCATAATTTTCTTAAATTTTCAAATTTTTTTTACAAAATTAAAGATTATTTTTTTATGAATTAACCATATATAATAAAGTTATATTACAACATATCATTTTCGAGAATTAATTATTAACGCTTTCGTATATACATAATCCATGCTTATGTATATGCGTAAGTAATTGTCGTCGGACAGTAAAATATATAAAAACTTGAAAAGATGTGTTAAATAAAATTTGTATAGTTTTCTACATGCTTTATTCTATATGTATTTAGATTTTCTAAATATATAATATTTTTAAGACTTGTATATATATGTGCGCGTGCGTGCGTGCGTGCGTGCGTTATTTAATTGGAAGTGGACATAGATTGTTTCACCGATCGCTTTAATAATCCCGCATTCATTTTAACGGTGACGGTTCATTCGACTCCATCTTCACCGGGATGAGTATCCCGACTCCCAGGGCTCACTGCAGGCATGGTAAACTTTTCTCCTTGATGAGAACGATTGATTCCACTTATGAACTTGAAGCTCATTGAGATATTCTCCAGAGACTCCAACGTGCCCAGAAATCTTGGACTTTGTAGGTGTGCTGCCAGAGACACTATTTGCTGGGACAGACGAGACATCAGACTCCGATAGATTAATCAATGGTCAACCGATCAAACAATGAGCGGGTGTTAGGGCTAAAAAATCGTTGGAATCGGTCGATAAAGATGAAATAGAATTTAGTATACCTTCGATTTCTATGATAAAGGTGTTTAATTCTTCAAATGTAAACAAAATTCACTGATTACGCGCTTAAAGTGATGTTTGAATAACTTTACTGTGGATTCCCAAAATGTGGAGCGTTAGGAGGTATGAAATACCATTTGATATGATGTTCGATAGCGAACCGATTTGTTATATTTTTGTGCCTGTCGGAGTTAAAAAGAACATAAAGTTCTTTTAATTGATTATTGACTCCGCAAAAATTAGTCTCGTTGTCCGTGTAAATATGTATTGGAATACCCTGCCTGGCTATGAAACGTTGCCACGAGAAATCCGTCGATTGTCATATCGCTCACGATCTCTAAATGTACGGCCTTTACAGCCATACATACAAACACGCACATGTAAATCTTGATTTGATTCCGATTTCTGTATTTCTTTTTTTTAATATAGAATGGTCCGCAGAAATCTATTCCGGTGTTATCAAAAGGGAACGCGTTATGTACTCGGGTGGTTGATAAATCACCTATTTTATAATTAATTGTACCGAAGTCGAATCGGGAACAATGTACTCATGATTGCACTATTTTACGCGTTTGATTTCTGCCATCAAGAATCCAGAATCTTTGTCTGATGGCATATAAGGTCATTTAAATATCAGCATAGTAATGTTGTTCATGGGTTTCTTTAATAATAAAGTCTGTCAAAAAGTGATGATTTGAGAGTAGAATGGGATGTTTCTGTTTAAAGGCTAATTTTGATCTTCTAAGGCGGCCGCCGACGCGGATTAAACCATTTTCGATGAAAAGATTCAACGCAGCAATATTACTTTTATTTATAGGTTGTTTAGCCGCAAGCCTCTTTAGTTCTTGTGAAAAGCGAGAAGCCTGCTTGATCTTTATTATTCTGATCTCAGCTTCGTCAAATTCCTTTATAGTTCTCCTCGATACGTGTTCGTTGGCCAAAAACGCAGGTATAATGTTATGACTCGTCTCAATTTTGAATAAGACGAGTATTTTCGGAGGATATTACAATCGTCGACCGTTATCTCTAAACAGGTGTTTTTCCGGCGCTCGGGTATCTCATTTAATTCCATCATTCTTGTAGACCATTTGTTTTTTTCCCTTGTTAACCACGACGATCCCGTAAATCAGATTTGATTGTTTAGGAAAGCGTCTAATTGACCCCTGGAGAGCGCGTCGGCTGGATTATCTCTAGATGTGTCGTCACATTTGGATATCCGTTATCTCTTGAATTTGCGCGATATGATATGTATGTTTTTAAGAAATGGAGCAGCGTTCTCAATC